GCCAATTTCAACTAGTTTTCAAAAAATAGCCGAGAAAGGTATGATTTGGAAAAATACAATTCCACGAGCGCCGTGGGGTGGTGGCGTTTATGAACGGCTCATTGGACTAACAAAAGATGCCTTAAGAAAAGCGATAGGAAGAAGACTCCTCACAGAAAGGGAAATGACAACACTAGTTGTAGAAATAGAAGAAATATTAAACACACGTCCATTAACTTACGTTGGGTTTGATGATTACACGATAATACATCCCATTAATTTCATTTCACCTACGGCATCATTAGACATACCAATAATCGAAGTTATCACTCAATCAATTCTTTTCAATTCCCATTCAACTTTTTTAGAAACGATTATTTCAGTCTCACTAATCAGGAAATCTTCCTCGTTACATTCGTTATATTCCACTACCATGAAGAATAAATACTTATAGCAATTTTTGTCTGTGAAATCACAAGACCGATTGAATCAAAAAGATTTTCAGTAAGTTATAAGTGAAATGATTAGTCTTAATGTGATTAAATCACAACAAATAATTATCCAAATATTGCTATAAATAAGCCTCTTAGGTCAAATTGCTTCAATGGATCTCATTTAATTCATCAAACGATTTGATGTTGAATTCTGTCAAAAGCTTGAATAATATTGAAAACAGTATTAATATCAACAAGAATTTCATGCTATCACCGTTTAGAAAAGCTAATATTTCTTATGTTTCACATTACATAAATAATAAAACTGAAAATTAAACAAGAATGGAAAAAAAAGAGGAAAGCAAGTATTATTGCACTTGAAAAACAATGAATATATGAAACGATGAAACGATGGATGGATGTAGTAGAAAATTAACTTCATATTTCCTAACACTATCTCACGGTTATCACGGGATAATAACCATTATCAATGATTCCTAACACTACTTTTCTCGGTTATCACAGTGTAACAATCATTATCAATGAAACAAAAGCTAAGGTTCCTCCGTGCTCAGTCCTATCATTTGGTCACCACATGAAGCATATCTGCTAAGGATTGGCTCAGTAATTGTATCTATCAACGCACAGGATTTGAACCATAACCTACTGGAGTAGTAATATCGGCACTTAGCAACTGCACCATTGCATCAAACACATTACCGCCGTTATTTTATTTAATTTTTTTTCTCGACATTTTTATATGCTGCCTTTTTTTTGTTCTAAATGAGTACAAATTCACATATGAAAGTCTCCCGTGTGGTCATGTAATTTCTAATCAAATTTTGATATATTATAGGAAAACTTTCACTTCATTTCACCTTTTTTTTCTAATTCCTTGCATTTAACAATTTGCTGAAAATTGCTCTTTAGAAAATGGTGATATAATAGCAGGAAAAGGAAAGTTTGATATTCAATAAATGACTAAAATGTTACCTTTAGTAGGAGAAGATAATCATGATTCATCTACAGATCGTTATTATCGATCTATGATGGGTTATCATCTTTTTTTCCGATTGATGGGAATGTTATTAAATTTTTATCAAAAAGCTACAATACACGATATAAGCTCTTGAAACTACAGCTTGCATTTTGTATATTAAGGAAGCATACGTTCCTGTTTTTCTCCCGAAGAGTGCTTTTTTTCCATTTTGATATTCACTTCTGGAGATTATGTAAGCATATGTGAGTATAGGTACGTACGTGCACGTACATACGCATACGTACGTGCACATGCATATGCGTACGTACATGCAGGTGCATACACGTTTACATACGTGCACGTGCATATGTGTGTATACATGCATGTGCATACGCGTATACATTAGTGCACGTGCATGAACATTTTTTTTTTGCATTTCATAATAGGTGTTTCCGAAAATGTGCTTTAATCAATACGAAAATCAGTGAATCTTTCAGTTAATGTTTAAGTTTCATTCTTTTTATTGGTTAGTGTTTACATGAGACGTTAATCGCTTATAAGTAATTGCTTGCAAGTTACGTTTGCTTTCTAATTTTTGACGCCAGCAATTGTTTTGTTTAATTATTGCATTAAAATTTATTGCAGAGTTCGAACTTTGCAACATTTATACAGCTTAAGTGAGAAGTGCTTGTATTCGTAAAGGATGGTATGTTCTTAATTTACATATTTGTTCGGCTCGTTTATCTTTGTGCTGACGTGTATACTTCACTATTTATTTATGGTGCTGATGCTATTAAAAACTGGAAGAAGTGCAGGTTTTAATAGTATCAGTTATCTAGAATATTTAAAATTATGCTAGTAGAAGTATTGATTTATCTTATATAATTGGTTGTTAGTTATACTGGTAATTTTCATTAATTACATTTGTGTCCAACATTTGTATCAACATTTGCCTTCTTTTGTATTAATTACTTATTACATATACTTGGTCGATATTATAATCTTTTCTATTTATGCATGATTTATGCTTTGTCTTATTTATGATACTACATATATGTATTCCATGCTTCATTTAGAGAGTAGTTTAAACTAATTTTTATGATCTGCCGCTTGGCATCAGCTCTTTTTTTCAAAATTAAAACGATAAGTAATTACATAAAAAGTCCCGTAACAGAGAGGAGTATTTTAAAAAGCTGTTGGATTCATGAAAGCTGAGAAATTAATCAGTTTATTTGCACACATACGCTGGCTGAAATCAATAATGAATTGTTTGCAGAGTGCCACGCTGCAGCCATATTTGGAAGCCGTGCGGAAAACATTAGAAGCTGCGATGTGCCTAGAACAGTTCAGCTCGCAGGTAGTTGAAAGATATAATAAACCCGAAGTAAGTTACTAGCATGTTTCCCGTGAATAAGTTGTCGTTTGACACAGTTTTGAATTTAGTATCATTCCATATTTATGTATTTACTGTTCTTGCAATCGACAGTGCAAAAATTGCAGTTTGTGGCACGTTGAAAAATATGATATAAGATGACTTTGCGTTCTACGTTATGCACACTGTAATGAGAAATAAGTGAAGAAAATAATTTAGAAGAATTTTTTAAAAGGAAAATGTAGAGGAATATGTTTGAAATGTTCATCATTTTCATACTTAAGACTTGAGCATTCATTATTTGGTTTTTATCAAAGCTCGTCATAATTGTCGTATACTATGTGGCATCTTTTTATTTGCAGGCATCTTTTTTATATATTTTATTGATAGGGGCATGGTTGCTCTTTTCTGTTTTTAGTAGAGAGTAATAAATAAAGCGGTCGTTAATTTCAGGTAGAAGTTGGCACATCATCCGAACTTTTGTTAACTCCGGTAGTTGTATCACGTAACAAGCAGGAGCGGGTCTTGATTGAACCGTCGATCAATTCGGTACGCGTCAGTATTGCCGTGAAGCAAGCCGATGATATTGAAAAAATTTTAACTCACAAATTCACACGCTTTATGTGTCAGAGAGCGGACAATTTTATTATACTTAGGAGGTTTATTTTTTATTAAACTATTCAGTAGTATTGTGGTTAAACCTTTTCTATAAATATAAGTAGATTACAGTTAAGATTACAGTTATGAAGTTATCAAGAAATGTGTACAACAAACTTTGACAATGAAAACGATTATTTTGTTTTTTATTTATACTAAAATTAATTTTTATAGAAAACCGATAGCAGGTTATGATATATCATTCTTGATAACTGCAACGCATACGGAGATGATGTATAAGCATAAACTGGTTGATTTCTTGATCCACTTTATGCAGGAAATCGATAAGGCATGTGTTTATATATACGTACCTGTTATGTCCTCGAATGTTTTTTTTTTCGGCTGTTAATGTATATCTGAAGAGGAAATGTTAAAAATTCTTGTAAATCACCAGCATTTTAATCATCGTTATTTTAAGAAAGAATGTTCTTATCATCCAGATAAAACTTCTATAGAAAGTTTTTCAGTCTTTTCATAGTTTTAGTTCATTCTACATTTTCATTGTTATTGCAACACAGTATTCGAAAAATTAAAAAAATGGATTTCATCTTCCAAAATTTCTTACTTAAGTTAACTGTAATTGTTTTCATGTGAAAAAGGATGTTTCTGCAGGAAATCAGTGATATGAAATTGGCACTAAATGCCCGTGCTCGAGTATCTGCCGAAGAATTCCTGAAACGTTTCAACTAATTCACTTGCTATTTATTTTGCAGTATACCTTTTAATTTTTTGGATGCAGTGCACTATAGAAATTTCACTTTCAACTTATAAATCTGTTTTTTTATCCGGTAGCATCGATTTGTTCCTGTGAGGAACAACGATATTCAATGGTTCATCTTTGTGCCATCGCGACTTATATCATCTCTGTTCGATGTTGCTATTTTTCAAAATATTGCAGTCCTTGTCGCGTAATTATTAATTCTAATAACTGAATCATGCAGTGAAGTTTTCAGACAAGGCTTTACAGAAAGTTTCATTCTCAAAAATATATTTTTTCTATTGATTGTGGTATATAATTTGAATATTGTACATTATAATATGTATTTTGGAATTACAATGATAAAGGTTATTCAAATAAATAATTTTCATAATATAACCCATATTATTTATTGATTTGTGTCAATAAGCACTATAAAAATTTACATGATATAGTCAGTATTTCTTGTTACACGTTATATATATGTATGTTCAAGTCCCCTGCACAATGAGCATTTTTGCAAGGTACATCGGTATTTATTAGAGGTGATATTTTTTTTTGAAGTTTATTTTTCTACTTTAATTGTTATTTGTTGTTATCGTGCTTTCCATTTATATTTTTTATTATTTTGCTGCGAAACATTTTTTAACTTCAAATCATTTCCATCATTGTAATAATTTGTGAGTTTTCTTTATGGTTCATTTTAGGAGTGGCCAATAAAGAGGAATAACAATGCACTTTTTTTGTCAAATTCAAAAGCTTTCAAATTTTGTCATCTGATATTTTTTGAGGTGCAAAACGTCTTATAATTCTGCCAATGTTTGAATATTTTCCTTTGAAGGGTTTTTGCAGTCTACATTTTCTTATCTGAAGGTTATTGCAATGCTTTTATCACTGCCATTGCTTCTCTGTATGGTACAAGAATTAGCTGCGACGTTGGAAGCGAAAGTTGAGCATGCTGCAGCAACCTATAAAATCGAAGGACAAGTTATTTTTCCGGAATCATTTGCTGCGGAAAATGGCAAACTGAGTCCAAGTCGTGTATTGGTGAATTACGACTTTAAACACGTCGCATTTGTAAGGTTGGTTATTATTAAATAGTTTGCTTTATTTTTATATTTCAATTCTAAAGTAGATTCTGCAATTTGTACAGTGTTATTGAAATCAGTAATGTTTCCAACTGATCGACATCTAGAGTTTTTTTTCTAATGGAAAAGTTAAAAATGATTTATTAAATATGGAATATAGAAATTTATCGAGGCATACATGCAAAATCTAATTTGTACATAAAGTAATTATAAATTATTTTCAGGGAAGATGGTTCATTTGTAGTTTCAGGAGTTCCACCAGGTTCTTATATTATTGAAATTTCAAATATTGATTATGCATTTGAACCGGTACGAGTTGACATTACCTCGAAAGGTAAGATAAGAGCGCGACGATTGAATTTATTGCAGGTTATTTTCTAAAGCATTTTTGCATAATTGATGCTTGTATTTAGCGAACTTTTAAGTAGTTAAAGCTGTACATAAACTGTCTATTTCACTTAATATCAAAGTTTATTGCATCGATCTTCCTGATATCGTTAGCGTAGTCGGTACTTAGTTTTAGATGTTTGCAAGTTTAGATGTTTAATCCATTTCAGCCGTCGCAAGTATCTTCACTTCCATATCCTTTGCACATGAACGCAGTTCAGCAAATTAACTATTTTCGACCTCGAGAAGAATGGCACTTAACAGATATGCTTACTAATCCAATGGTTTTAATGATGGTTATACCTCTCATTCTGCTTGTTATACTACCAAAGCTTATTAATGCAAATGATCCTGAAGTTAAAAAGGTAAGTCATTTATTAAATTTATCAGCTTTTTTCCCATTTCAGTGTATATATTTTGTTGTATATATTTTAGTGTATATATTGTGTTGCTGCTTTTTGATGAATTTTGTGGGAATGGAATTCTTGAGTCTAAAAATACTATCGGGTAGAGAATTTTTGTTTATACATTTCTATTAGAGTGAAAGAAGCTTGCAGTTGTGCATTTCAGATGTATAATCAAATAGTAATGTTTTGTAGACATCATTTTTGCTTTTTGTGATAATAGACTAACAATGTAATTTGTTGGTTGTAGGAGATGGCTAAAACTATGCCACAGATGGATGTTCCCGATGTTTCGGAAATGTTGGCTTCATGGCTTGGTAGCAATCCAAAAAAAACGAAAAGAGCGACAACAGGAAACAAAAAACGGCAATGATAATTTCGTTGGTGTATTATATGATATATCTCATTATTTGAAGGATGCATTGCAAGATTTTGTTAAACTCAAAGATCATTTAAGGTTTAATGTCATTAGTGGACAGTTAAATACGTTTTTTCATAATCGACTTCATTATCATGCATTATGCATCTCATTTTGTTCACTATTTGAATATTTCAACTAGAAAAATTGCAATGCATTTTGACTAAAAGTATGCACAGGTTGTATGTTTTCTTTGTTGTTGTAAAGAGTTTAGCGTAGAATTTTTTCTTTTTCGTTTTTACGGGTTATTCGTATTGTTAATATACTGAGGTAACCTAGTTTACCTAATCTGTTTACATTAGCATTGTATTAGAAAATTTGTGTACCTGTCTTATATACTATAAATATTTAATTATAACAAAAATTTGTAATAAAACAGTTGTGAAATAATAGTGGAAAACAGGAGAATTTTCAATTTAGGATCTGTTTATGAGTTTAGTTTTTTGTTTTTTCTGCATAAAAAAAAAAAATTTTTGGATCCAAAAAAATTGAGATCTCTCTGGTAATATAAAATAGTTTAATTCAACATAATATGAGAAGAATCGCTGAAATGCTCTTTTTTAACCAAATATATATCCTACTAACCAGAACAATCTCCGACCTGTTGAATAAATTGAAATAAGTAATCAATTTATTTGGTTATAGTGACGGGAATTTTTTTTATGATCGATATCGAGATCGTTTAATTATAAGCGATGTAAAGTAATCCTTCAATCCTTCAATTATGACATGAAGTATCGAGTATCCTAATAGATGCTATACATCATTTTCTTATCAAATAATTATACCAGAAAATTAAGCCTTTAAGACGTGCATTTCACGTATTTTCAATTGGATAATATTATTAAAAATAAATCTAACAGAGAAAAAAAAATCATCTTAAAAAGGTGTAATTTTTGACTGATTTCATCAAATGTCAAACAAAAAAATCTTTCATTAAACATTTTTTTTTAACGCAACATATTTCATTATTGTATATATAAATAATTTAAAAAAAATAATGATATTTGTCAATAGCTTACTTTGAGAATACTTCTAGGAAAGTTGTCATGGAAACATATACGCACATATCGATAACCATTTTAGCTTTCTCATAAAATGCGTTTTCAAAATTTCATTGCATAAGCTTCATTACTTCTTAAATGACGAATTTATATTTAAGATAAAACGTAAAATGTTTGATGATATTTTCTCCCTTTTTTTTTACAAGAAAATTGAATGTATTACTGATTTTTTCTTATTCGTCATCTCATTTTTGTTTTCGTAACATAGTTTAGATAAAATTTCATTTTAAGTTTGAAGTAATTTGTTAATGTAGCAAAATGATCGGTTGCTAATTATGTCATTTCATGACTAATAAATATATCATGGCATTTTTTTTTTCTTGCAAATTTATGATAATTTCATAAATGTAATAGCAAATAATAATTTATCGTATATGATTAATGGTTGATAAAGTTGCGATAAATTAAAATAATATCGTTTTGCTTTTAGTTTGAATGCTAAATTCTAAAATGTGCTAATGGTATATTATTTAGTTTCCATGAAAATTATATTTTAACAATGAATTTTGAATTTAAATTTATTAAATTAATAAGAAATGATACATATGTAACATCGTAAAGGTTTTCCGCGTATAATTAATTAGAAAAAAGGCGAGAGAGAGAGAGAGAGGGAGAGACAAATAATAATACAATTATTCAGCTATAAAATTTGTAAAATTGTTTGCGCGCTTCAAAAATGGGATTACTGTCACAAATATCGATTGCTTTGGGTATTTCACGGAAACAGATAAGTATTGTAATGATTGGCCTTGATAATAGTGGCAAGTCAACCATTATCAATCAGATGAAACCACAAGAAGATCAAGTAACTCAGGTTATTTCAGTTATAATTTCGAAAAAATTTAAATGAAATTTTTATTACCAACCAATAATCATTTTTGGAAGAAGCAAATGGAATATATGGATGTCAGAGGTCAAAAAAATATGATCACTTAATAGATTGCAAAGGAAAAAAAAAATGCTTAATACTGGTCAGCAAAGACAGCCATAATAGCATATTCTAAAAAGAAAAAATTTACTTTGGGAATATGGGAAGCTAAAATCGAAGGTAATTAGCGTGTTTTACAAATTTTAATTAATTTAAAAAAAAAAAAGAATTGAAAAAAATGATATCTTCGTGTACAAATGGAAATTGCGAAACATGGTGCTAAAATTTTGTAATTTTAAAATAAATTTGAATTCATGAAGTAAAATTTCATTTAGCTTATGCCATCAATTGGTTACACAACCGAAAAATTTATTTTTAACAATACAACATTTTTGGTATATGATATGTCTGGACAAGGTTGTTTGCTTTTTTCTTTTCTCTCAAATTTGAAATTGGCAAATTTTTGGAGAAATCGTTGCCAAAAAAAAAAGATTAGAATTTGTACAAATTTATGAATAAAAAGTACAAAAATAATACTCACGATGATTTCTATATTATAATCCATAAATCAGAATTTGTATAAATTCATAAATATAAAATTTAAAAATAATACTTAAAATGATTTGTATATTGTATCCATGATAGGTTCGCCATTTTCTCCAGGAAAATACCGGAATTTATGGGAGAATTACTACAAAGAAGTGGATGGTGTAGTATTTGTTGTTGATAGCAATGATCGATTACGATTAGCAGTTGCTCGTGATGAATTACGATTATTATTGGATCATAAAGAATTTAGCCGAAGAAAGGTTCAAATAATTTCAAATATTATCAGTTCATTAAATATATTTCTTTTTAATCAATTGTTTTTTTCTCCTTTACTGGGTAATATACATGATAATATGTACATCAAAAATAAAATGTAAAATCGGGCAGTTTAATTTGAAATTCTCAAATCCCATATTATTAATATTTTAAAAGTATTGAAAATGATATTACATGAATTAATAAATTTCTTGTTATTCCTAACAGTTATTCTTTTAAATGATTCAAGTGCCATAAAATTGTTAACAGAATTTGAAATTCCTCTAACGGTTTATCAGAAATTTTTTCAATTACTCTGATCCTTTGGGAATTGATTACGTTTTCTGAGCTTCTTTTAATCAACATTATCTATCAGTTAATTTTCTGCACCATAGTAAACTATTTGTTTTGATTGGGAGCAGTGAGTAAGAAAAGCTTCCTGTTAATAGTTAATTTGATAATAAGTTTACTATCCTGAATTTTAAGATTTCAGTGATTAAAAATTATCAGCTATTATAGTATAGAGATCATTTAACAATGTCTCTTTTTATAGTTAATACATTTATTTCAAAGCAAATCACTATCTTCAATTTTAATGATTAGCTTTCTGTTAAATGCTTTATCGAAAATAATTCGCCGAGGGAATTTTGTATGGTTTAATTTTTATTTTTCAATATTTGAAGCATCTTTGAGCTTTCATCCGCTCGCATAAAAACAAACGAAAATTTATCTTATTATTTGCCAAGATAAGTAAGCCATTTGACCCAACGAAATTTTTTTCCTTTTTTCACTTTTCATAATAGTTACAACATTGTTTAGAGAATTTCAAATTAGTTTACTTTAATATGAATTAATTTAAAATTCTC